AGACACATTATTTGTTTGTAAATAATAAACATATGTATTCTCAAATTATTAGCTATAGTTTGACCTAATCAACNCCTGGCTTGTGATCTTTACATTTGTTTGTATTTGAGGCCATAATCTAACTTAATTGAGCAATAAACATGTAAATTGAGGCAACTAAAAGATCACATGTCTTATATTTTGATCCCATCATAACCAAACAAATACATAAGTTATGAAAAAGCACAGGCAAATGAATGAAATAAGACTGACAAAGAATGAAAAAAATTATGAAAAAGCGCAGGCAAAAGAATGAAATGATACTGGCAAAGAATGAAAAGAAAAGAAATAAAGTTGGCAAAGAATGAAAAAGTTATGAAAAAGCACAGGCAAAAGAATGAAATGCATTTCATTGCCAAGGAGAAATGAAAAATGTGGTGGGTAGGAATGAAATAGCTGCAAAGCAAGAATGAAATAGCCTAGGCATTTCATTTCATATTTCACTTGGGGGGATTGAAAAGACTGTGCAGGCAAATGCCCAGGTTTTATCATAAAAGTGGTAGGTACCACTCGCGCGAGGGTGCATGCCTGGCCAAAGAAACTTTACGCGACCAAAGAAACGAAACACAACTTACCGATGGTTGAACGTTGAACTTCGAAGGTGACCCAATGGTAGGTCGATTGTCTGGGTGGGATTCGGTGAGCACAGCTACGAAGTGTGCCATGCCAAGAGTGAACCGACATCAAGTCAGGTTCTAGCAACCAACACATCGTCAGGTTGCTGCAACCGACCAAAAGTCAGGTTGCGAGTGGCAGAGGCAAGGTGAGGCAAGGACCTGGCTTACCTCGAACTTGTAGTAGTGATTGATGCCGACGTTTGTTGACTTAGACGTTTCAACACACAGTGTTTGGCTGAGACCTGGAAACAAACATAACCAATGTAAACCAATATAACCTCAAATGGAGCGTATCTTGAAGCGCTCTAGCGCCACCATGCCCGCCCGCCAGCAGACTCTATGTCGCTGGGTTGGGTCGACCAGACTATAGTCGGTCGTTGCCCGCGCCATTCAACCAGACCGTAGTCGGTTGAAGTGGTCCATCAGGACTCATGGCGCGATCGAACATACACCCAATGCCAATGCCAGGACCCTCTTGCAAAATCGCCACCAAAATTACGCCGCCATGCCCACCTGCCAGTCGAGTTTCTGTGCTTCGAATTTCTGTGCTGGGATCGGTCGATCAGATTGTAGTCGATCTGGACTGATCATGGCACAATCAAACGTGCACCCAATGCAAGAATTGCAAGACGCCTCTCGCAAAATCGGCGCTGTGATCGTTTGTGCAGCCAGTGCCAATTTACGCGACATGTGGGCCCCACTTGCGCCCACCGTCAACATTGTCGCTGAGTATTGCATTGGTACGTACTCAACTCTCCACCAGAAACCAAATGGTTCACATTTTTATAGCATCCAGCCTCAATGGAACCCATCAGCATCCCCCAGCGTCCCCCCACCATTTTCACCAATTTTTTCTTATCCCATCGAGGCGCGATGCAACCCATCAGCGTCCCCCAGCAGAATTCTCCCTTCGTTTTCACCAACACCCCGCTTCGTCCTCTTTTCACCAACATTTGTTTTTTAGCATTTGTTTTATACCATCCAGGCGCGATGCAACCCATCAGCGTCCCCCAGAAGATTTCCCCGCTTCGTCCACAATCT